TTTTTCCACACTTTAACACACTGTTGTCGTGTATTATTCATTTGACGTTTATACTGTTGTACCTATCTTGAAGCTTACCTAGCGGTCTTTCGTTTTTTGACTTGCATTTGCAATGCGTGAACTTCATTCTTCGAAAATTTCAGGCAGAATGTCTAAGATGCTCTCCAAGGAGCGAATTCGTAGTTCTTCGCTTCATGGGTTAAAACTTGGACGGAAGGCTGAGTATCATGAAAATTGTGAAAGCATCGGGACCAGATGTCTTTTCAATTCGTAGTACTCAACTCTGTTTCCAAAAGTTCCGACGAAGAAGCACCTTCAGGCCATGCAGCCTGCATGGAAGCGGATCCTGAACACTTTGATGACGACTGCTTGTAGTCCCTGGTGGAGTCAGATCCACGAATGCTGCTCGTAGTCAGCGAAACGTCTTTGAGTGCCATTTTGGACCGTCGTCAAGCATATGGGAATTTTGGAAAAGTGAAAAATATGTACCAGTGGGTATCCATGAATTGAATGTTCAATAGATTTTAAAATTTCAGTTTTCAAGACAAGTCTCACGAAAAGCGCTTCAGAAGATATGCTAGAAGCTCTGATATGAACATTGCTTCATCCAGCATGCTCACCAGACCTGTCGCCAAAGGTTTACAATATTCTCGACCATCTCAACAACTTCGTCAAGGACAGGGCGTTCAAGAGACGGACCGATGCTAACGGCTTAATTGCTTCCAAGAGTTCGGCTATTACTTCTAGGAGTTCGGATTTCTACGGCACGATTTCTTGGCGACTGTGGTGAAAGGATGATGTCTCCAAGGTGAACCCAACAGGTCGACACGGCGTTTGCAACTTGGAAGAATGTACACATGTGGACGTGTCTTGAGCCGCTGAATCCAAATCTACCCTCCGTTTTTGCGGAACGATTCTCTGAACGGAGTTATGGGGCTTTTTCCACCGCATTTACCACGCAACAGGTCGTGGGATCGAATCCCTGCTGGGCTTCACTTTTTTGCTTCCTGCGCAAACGTGGCAAAATGTGGTTTTGCTTTCACTACTACTTCAGTGCCCACCTAATCTTGCCTGAAGAAACTTTGCGTCCATTTATGAATGCGCCTAGGCACCTTGTAGAAGCCTTGTAGTGCAGGAAAATATTGGGGTGCACAGGTGCCCGTCGTGCGCGATACAGGCGTTTTCACGCTCAGCGAGTGCCATATTCGTGTTCAGCGGGTCAAAATACCTTTATACACAAGTTGCTAGCCAAATCTGGCATTTTGACCTGATTTCCATAATTGAACCATGATGGTTATGCTTCGGCTGATGTTCACACCTATTCAGCTGCAGATACATTTGCCTGCACAACGCCTTGTCTTGCACCTTCTTACGCATTCATTTTGTTACTGCTCCAGTTTTCCTGGTATATAGAAGAAAATTCCGGCCAAAGACAGGCAATCGACAAGAGACTGGCCCTGGAACTAGTGGTGACCACCATCGGATCAACTGCTACCGGACTTTTGAAGATAGGTCAAGACCTCATATCTGGCTAGAAACCTGTCCCCAAGGGTAATTTTGCTCCCTGAACACGAATATGGCACCCATTTGACGTTTGAATGCATTCTAGACTTAAAAGAGACATTCCCCACAGAATTTAAATGCAACTCCGTTCAGAGAATCGTTCTGCAAATTTCGAAGGCAGATTCGAGATCAGCGTCCAAAACCACGTCTAGTGAACTATATTTCATTACGAATGGCCACTTGGACCTGACGACCTTCCCTAGTAGTAGTGGCGACCTTCTCCATTCCTCGATGCGAGCTCTAGAAACGGTCATTCTCATTGGAGTTCTCATTCAAGTTTTCAGAAGGTGTAACAGATGGAGCAATGATCGCTTCTATTGTCAAATAATCAGAAGCATTCAAGTCAAACTGGCCAAACAGAAGTGTTCTGGGAGACTCGTAATGAGAAAGATATCTGAACAAAAAGCAAAAGTGATTCGGAAGTGTCAAAGGATTGTCCAACAATGCGGACATCGTGTTCCTGAAAATCAGTGCACTTATCCACATAGGCCAATCGAGGACCTGCCGTGAAGCGGCCATCCCCCGCAACTTACACAACAGAGACAAAAATTTGAATACGGATCCGTAACATCGTTCAGAGAATACAGTTCCGCAAAAACGCGAGAGTAGATTTGGAATTCAGCGACTCGAGGATACGTCCAACATACCTACTATCATAACATGCACAATGGCCGAGTACGACACTGTTGGGTTCCCTTGTTCAGACCGAATGAGCGACGTTTGTCGGAGCCTGCTTCGATGTATAGGAGATCATCCAGATACGAGAGTACAGCCACTGGTAATACAAGGTAGACTACCAAGGGATAAGAACTCCATACTAGCAAGTTCGCAAGCTGTTTGGAGGTGAATGAATTCAAAAGGTCTTCTACCAGGTCAGGGCTGCGCGCTGGAGATAGACCTCAAATTTGGTGACAGGTCGTCATCCTTGCACTGATAGGGGCGTTTGTCGGCGAGAGGAGCAAGTGAACAGCACTGATTTAGAAAGCGCTTCTCAGCCTTTTCGTTGAAACGCGTATGCGACAAAAAGTGATAGAAAACGAGTAACACGAAGCGAAATATAATACAGTAATGTCACTCTCTGGTTCAACGATTGGTGCAGTACGGGTGCTGACGACCGCGCCGCACGCAGCCGCACTGACATTGACTATCAAGTGCAAGGATGACGACTGTACATGGGGAGGGCCAGCTCCTGCTTATAGAGGAACATCTTGGGTATCTTCCGCCCTGGTACTCGTATCCACGTCCTCTGTCTGGGCAGCGAAAACTTTGCTGATATGTGACTCGGTCGAAGTGACTTTTTTTGGCTCTCCCCCCTGTATTCTTGTTTCGCGCTGCAAACAAAAATGCGTAGTTGCTACGAGAGTGAAGCTTTATCTGAATTGTCGCCAACCCATTTTAGGGGTGTAAATACACTCATCCGAAAACTAGCTCTAGTAATGAATAGAAATGGATATGCGCCCTAGTCAACTTTGTTCGAGCGAAGGCCGCAGACGTCTGGCTTATGCTCGTAGGCGGAAAACAACGGCTGGGATTGCGGACGAGGCAGCCAAAAGGCGTCCCCCCCCCCCCCCCCCCCCCCTCGCAATGATGTCTTCTGCTGAGGTCACACTAAGACCTAACTATGAATAACCATTAAAGCGCTAAGAAAGCTTGAGTCCAGCTAGTAGGGAATGCCTAGCAATTCCGTGCGCGTTACTGAAACATGAGGTAGCCCTCACACCCGATCATGCAGGTTCACAGTCTATAGGGGCAAGTTGCCACCTGAAGGGCCAGCTGCCGATCAAATCCAGCCTGTCTCTGAAACTACGGAAAGTGCAGTTATGACTGCACCATTTCGCTGTTTGTCCATAAGGCGATTGCATTTGATTGTGCACGGTCAGCTACCTTCTCTCCCCCCCCCCCCGCTTACCCCTTTCCCCCTTCAGTCCCGTTTCCTATACATAAAAACAAAGTGCATCGCCGGTGCAAATAGGTGAAGAAAGGTCTTAAAGTGCCTTACGCAATCAAACGTCATTCAAATCATCCGCTCAAGAATATGGGTTATTATCAGAGTATACTCCTTATCCCTGAGCCAGAGTAGGCGTGGCATTTGAACATGGCACGGAATGGGTTACTCATGGCGAATATTCCAGTCTCAGGGCGTCTACTTGTTACTATGTTAAGGAAAGTAACACTGGACTCGATTGTGAAGAAGAAAAATACCTCACCAGAAGCACAGCCACCGCCATGTTTGGTTGAAGTGCGCAGACACGCGTACTCGATCTTACCATCAAGGATTTAGAGTATATATTAAGACAGAAGCCTCGAATTAAGCCAACATCGACGCAAGCCATCTTGAGCGACACGAGCAAGTACATTCAGACTTCGGAGGGCGCGAGCTGGTGGAAACTTGGTCGAGATAAATTCGTCTTAACAAATTAATCCCTGTTCAGGTCATCTGCTCAGTACTCGAACATTTTACTGCTCCCAAGTGGGGACGCTGGAAATTTTGTCGGAACCCTACGGAGGGTCTTTCATTACTCTCTGTTAAACGAGGACGGCTGATGTCCATTGGAGGTGAAGCCGCATAACACGCTCACGATCTTCAGGTCGGATCTTTCGCTGTTTGGTTTATGCTAGTGCCAGCCAAAGCTTCCATCCTTCCTCAACACCAATAAATTCTGGTACCGACTCTCGTCTTACTTTGCGCGATTTAAACAGCGTGACGTGTACACTCCTGCGGGCATGGTCACTAAAGCCACGATAGATTAAAGCCATATTGCATTCAAATGCCCACTACGGTTCTGAGGGCAGGAAAAAACGTGGCGCATAAGGCTTGATCAGCACTCAAAGCAACCCTTCGAGCAACCACCCTTCTCGCTATTACGAAGCTGCCAGAATCTATTCGTTTTTAAGCCAGCAAATTTGAGGTTTTGCCACTACTGCCTCCCAAGTCGTTTCTTCGCATCATCCAGCGGTAAATACTACCAAACAGTGGGTAAAAGAAAAACACGTTGCAGAAATGAAACACGTGACAGAAAATAACCTTGGAGACTTGGTGGGCGAGACAACTAGGGATTCGTCAGAACCGCAACTTACACATGAGGGCCGCAGCGCTTCCCTTACTTACTGTGAAGCCGCGATAAAGGGACAGTCTTGGAGACTGCGGACCGCTACTTGAACAAGGAAGGACGCCTACGAATCGGCTGAATGCGGGGAATATCTTCAGTGAACAAATGTTATAGGAGGTGAAGTAGGAATGAAGATTCACTGTCAGTAAGAAAGCACTAACCGAATTTGTTTTTCTTTTTCAACAGAATTGAAAAAACCAGTTTTTTAGTCACACCCTACCAATAGATCTTACGTAGAGAAGTTTGCTGAAGAACAGTGACCCTCCCTCGCCCCAATTCTATAAAAACGCCCTCTGTAAAAATATTGAACAGTCTTCTGCAACTATAATGGCACTACCATTATCATGCTTCCTGCTCGGCTTCAACTTCTGCCATCCTTTCGTCGATATGATGCCCCACATGGTTCCTTTTAACATGCCCATTCCGGTACCAATGTTTGTACCGCAAGTGGTACCCTTCTACGTACCATCGATTCCCACTTCAAGTGTTTTGGTCAATGAAGGAGCGACAAAGGGCAGCAATGTCAAGAAACCCGTAGTTTACTACAGAGCGTTAAATGACAAGTAAGTTGGTAATTTCAGTGCAAGTTTCACTTTGAATATATTTGAAGTAGTACCGATTGCAAGGGAATGGTATGGGGTAGTCGAAGTTCTAGCAAGTCTCAGCTATTCTCGCTATGGTTGGCTAATCACGTTATGTCCTCCTGCTCGTGTCATTGTTTTTTTTGCGATTTTCCTTCCTTCTTTGAGTCTTCAAGCTCACTGCTCCTGTAAAATCTCTCTTTCACGAGTAGAGCCGCACTTTCTTGCTGGAACATTGCACGGTGGACCTATAGCGGGCCATGTCGGAAGCCCAATCTTACGTTTTTCTCGTTGTTGTTTATTTGCTAACTGTTGATTATTTTCTCGTTGATGGCCCCTCCGACACGACGAGCTCAGATATGTTTTTTTTTACTCAATCTCACATTTTGTGTCTGTTTCGCATCAAACGCACATAATGTTTTACTGAAAAAAAAAACTGGGATCACTTTCAGCCTCAACAAGAAAGACGAAATTTCAAATTTTGCCCGCGACAGTTTCCGAACGTAATACTATGGAATAAGAAGTAAGGACGCTGGTCCAAAATGCATTGCGCACTGTTAGTCCCTAGTCGCGACATTGCGCGCAGGGTATTTCATTCTTAGACGACTCAACGCAGCGACTTGAATTGCCACCTCGAATCGACTGGGTCCTGTTGCAAATATTGTGCAAGTGGTTACGCTTGTATCCCCTCTTCTCGCTTGATGACCAATTCTACTTTCTTCTAGCTAATGACCAATTCTACTTTCAAGCTCTCCACTGATTCTACTTTCAAGCTCTCCACTGATCGATACTGTTTTCACCGAGCTTTTAGACCCTACTACAGAGTTAGAAATGCTGGCAGCATGACCCTACTCAGGTCTCGCTGTCTGGTCAATGGTGACAAAGTCGCTTTCGGGGCCGTGTTTATCACATGATATTACATTTTTTCTCTCTCTTGACCTATGTACATGAACGCCTGGGTGCCCTTCTATCACTATTTGGGAAGTCACCAATTATTCCAATTCTCAGCTTCCCCTTTTCCGACAGAAGTGAATCGTTGACCTTGTACTTCATGAATGTTATTTGTAATTTGATTGATTAATGTGATCCAATATAGCGAGATATAGAGTCATATTCACCGCCAGAAATATGGCGTGTGAAGGGGCGCGAGTTGGGGCACAACTAGAACAACGTTTCCTTTCAACTGCCTCGGGATGACACCATTGCTGGAAAAGGACAGCTGTGGAGCGCTTTAGTCCATGCCCCATCAGACTTGCTGGAATTATGACTGTGCGCATACCAACGTATTGCAGCCATTTTGCGCACCTTAAATTGAAATTTAAAATGAGCGTGACTGGAGCAAAGCGCACAGAAAAGTCTTATTCTTCTCCCACTGGGGAAGTCGTGGGAGCCTTACCTCTGCTTGCGAGTCAGGAGATCTGAACTGCGGCAGCATGACGATGACACGCATTAGACGTATGTAGCAGCGCGCGCGTGGCCTTCGAACCAGGAACTCATTGATAAAGAGCGAATTTGCGGCATTAGACTGAGACGACTTGCTGGGACATTCCAGGGGTGACATGCTAATTGCTTCTAGAACTCGGATCTCCTGCCACACCGGTACATTAGCATCGCTATGTTAGATAGGCTTTCAAGTATGCGAAAAAGGCAATGGTGAGGAAGTTGCAGCTGCAGCTAAGCAAAATCGATCACGCAGAAATAAACTTACGGAGAGTATAATGCAGATGTACTTGAAAAGAAGGCAGAAATAAGGCTTCTAAGAAGGCTGTGGAGGGAGGCCGTTGAAGTACAATATTCATAAACGAACTTCCTACAAGACATATGTTTTCAGACTTCCTGGAGGATTTGGACGTGGAAATGTTTACGAATATCATGCTCCTGGGCATGACGAAATCGCTCACAGCTACGGCACATCACAGTCGTTTGGAAGTCCTAGCTCCGGTAGCTTTGGGAACTTACAAAGCAGCTCGTCTGGATTCTTTAACTCGTATTCAGTGAGTCTTTCGTTCTCTCTCTATGCCGCGACGCGAAGTGCCAGTTTTAATGGCCGAAGATCTAGCGACACTCCGATCAACTTGTTTTGTAAAAAAGAAACTAAAATGTTTTTCAATATTTGGTCCCGATTACTGTGCATTGCTTTGGAGGCTCCAGCAAGTTGAAATGTAATGAAGTCGTGCATGATTGTCGAGCTCTAGTGTTCCCTATAGAGCAGCGTACTTTTCCTACCATTCTGTACTCCAAGTTCCTCAACTGCCATTCTGCACGCAGGCGTAGAGGAAACCAAATTCTACTCTGTACTCAAAGAGGATGTGTCTCACCTTGTTGGGCCATTGAGAACTCGAGTGCTTGTGACTTCTGGAATTTCCTCTCGGGTCTGGGCGAAACATTTCCGAAGATATCTTTGCGGGGTACAATGGCTGACTATCTAGAAACAAACGGTCAGGGTCATCGTCGTCGTTAGAACTATCGGGGCTGCCAGCACATCTTCCGCTCTATCGTAGTCCTAAAGAATAATATCAGAATAAAAAAAATTTACGACAAAAGATTTTGTAGATCAAGGCGAGTGGTGACGTTATTTTTAGCATGGGATAGCTCCACCAATTTCGAAATCAAAACTGGCACGGCATAATTCCACAGCACTCGCTCACCCCTCCAGTATTCACTCCGCCTCTACAAAATCGGGCATCTTGAGAAGATAAGCTATTCTGAACCTTTTAACAACTTTTCATTTGCTAACCGTTACTAGAGAGGCGTGAGGCAGCAACAAAATATTTGAAAATAAGCAATAAAAGAGCTGCGTGGAATGGTAAGTCGCTAATGGCAGCTACTACAATTAAGCAGCATAGCCCTTTACCTAGTTTGATCAACCGTCACTGGCTAACCGACAGCGCATGGATGGATGTCGCAGGCGAAGGGCCTACTCAGTGTTCGTATTCCTGTAGTTTCGCTTTGCCTGAGTCCAAAAAATCCCCATGGACGACACAGAATCTCCGACCACTGTGCTGTCCTCGATCGTTGCAGGTGAAGAAAAGAGGGTTCGAATAATTCCACGAAATGCTCGGGAAGTTCTAGAGAAGTGTTTGCCTTGAATAAGAGGCACTGAAAGTGACTGCTTTCCGAAAGGAGACAATTGAACGTAATATAGTATATAGTAATAACGTATTTGTCGAATTCTTCGGTTTGGACCGGTTGTATGTAAGTACATACGTAATACGTTACACTCGTTGAACTGTACTGAGAGGAAATAATAGAGAGGATGTCAAATGCAAGATTTATTACTAAGTTGGCATTAGAATTGGTTTCTGCCCAGTATTTAAGGTCGGCTGAAAATTTTGTGTTCAGGATTCCTGGGACTCCTCATCCTTATCTAGCAGCGCCAAAGGCACACGTCCAGTAGCTGTGGTATCAAGTGCAAAAATTGTGAAGGTAACAAATAACCTATAGATTATTACTGTTTGCAAAAAATTCAGCGAAAAGTTCATTAAGGAATTTTGTAATATTGAAATATTTCTTTGCTCTACTGCCTGAGTCTTCTTGTTATTGATCAGGACGCAGCCTTCTCAGTCGTTGACGTCGTTTACAACATTCAAACCATAAAACCTTCCGCAGGTCGGCTTTGAGGCCGATCCTCAGCTGTCCTTCTGTCTCAAAAAGGTATTTCCCTTGAAAGAAAATCTGGTGAGCAACCCGCGAAGCTGCTGGAACCTTAAACCCCTTATCCTTTTCTTCCCAGAGGCGATTTGAAGAAGGTCTAACCTCCCGGAAGCTTCCAAGCGTGAGGCGAGAGGGCTTCGTTCAATTAATCACGAGCATTTACCGCTCATTTATTTGATAAAATAAGAAGCATTAAAAATAGTGATACTTGGTATTATTGTGACTGCCGATTTTTGTAAGATGATGCATTCACAAGAAATTAATAGTCTTATCAGGTTGAGGAAGCCTAAATGAGCGTTCCTAGGCAATGCAGGGTTTCTCTATCGAATAGAAATGACCTTTCCAAGAAACTTGCTTGACAGTGAGACGAAGAAGCTGAGCATCCAGATTCATACTATATCCATGTTTTCCATTCTCTTTCGGAATGGATCAGAGTGACCTATATTGTGATGGGACAGTATCAGAGCTACAGAGGCCGAGGTTGGTCAAGGGGGTGAGGGTTCGACATTTCACACCAGGTTCTTCTCCACCACTTAATGTCGCCTGCTCGCTCCAGCAATTGGTGGAGAACGACCTGGTGCCGCGTTAAACCGAGCCCCTTGACGGGCGGTTAGCCCTTCTTCAAATCGGCTCTGGGAAGGAAAGGGTCAGAGTATCAAAGTAGTTCCATCCTTGACAAGTCCAAGGTTCTGCAGCGAAAACGACTGTATATGGAACATAGAAAAACAGCTACCCTTCGTGGTTTGTTCACCTTCTGTTGAAAGATTATTCCGCTGTTGGCCAGACGTTGACGTGAGGGCTACCTTGCTTGAACACTAAAAAAGTGCGGCATCCAAATTTTTCCAGAGCTAGCCGATCAGTAGCTAAGAATTCGAAAGTGATTCGCCGCGGATGATCTTCGTTTTCAAAGCTCACCTCTCCATTCTCGTATCTCCATCTTCAGCGCAGAATCTCGATATCTACGTTCTACGCAGATTTCTCACCTACTGTATAATAGCTGACTCCAGCGACACATCGTTTTTGAGGAATCCCACGGAGGGCGGGTTGTATTTGGCCGCCAGGAGAGGGGAGAGTCGCATTTGGGCTAAGAAATATTTATTTTGATTGTTGATTTTTCCCGCTTCACGGCGTTGTAAAGGGAGGGGGTCGTACTTGCTCTTAGTGGGAGGGGGATGGGGACGCGCGCGGCCGGCGACGGTGCCGGTCTCGCACTCCTCTACTTGCCCGGCTTTACTAGAAGTGGTAGTTGACTTGTCGTGAGTTTCATGCGTACTCTCCTCCCCCCCCCCGCTCGACGGCTCGATTCGATGAGGGACAGAGGGCCGGGGGGGGGGTCGTACCAACCTCCCAAAAAAAAGGGGGGGGGGGTGGTCGTACGGATTCGACTAAAATCCCCAACCAATGATGTGCCCTGAGCTGACTCAGAATGATATCATTGCTGGAACAAAGCAACCCTGGCTTTGCGCCCAACGCGCAGCGTGGCACGCTCAATCGTTCGCATGGGTCACCACCGTCTTTCACAGTAAGGAATAATAAGAATGAAAGTAATATTTGCGCTTGCGTCAGTGCTCCGGAACGTGCTATCCAAGGCCCTGGGGCAAGTTAAGGAGCGCGTTCTGGATCAAGGGTTCGGTAGTATGTGTTGCAAAGCTGTTGCCAGGAGATCAGTGACAACGGAGAACAAGGAAAATGAAGAAAGCTCGCATCAATATTTCCTCAACTTATTTATTTATGCTCTCTTTTACTAGTCAGTTCTCGACATTTCTTCACATTATTGAAAAATACGAGTGAAATTCATCAAATCCTTTTCTTTCAGGAGGAATCAACCACTCGCCCAGAGTGAGCGTATATTTCGACGAATCTTCCTGACCGGTCTATCTCGTTCTCTGTTCTCCCCTGAAAAATACATCTGATCAGCAATTTGCGATTTCTTTCTCACATTTCCAGTGAACCTTTTTGGAATAAAGTTGATGTTATCTTGCTGTTCGATTCAAATTTTCCTCTATTGTACTAAGGACCGAGGCGAAAACTCACAACTGCGCTTGGTAACGAGCGCGCGAAATCGATATTATTTTGAGAAGGCTCATAGAAACTGTCGAAGAACTGAAACTGTTTGGCTTAACAAGTGCCAAGTGACCTTCAAGAGTTGCATAAAACGAAGGTTTGTCAAGCTGAGGCAAGGCAGTTGGCACTATGGGAACGCACACACTGGTCACAATAATCTCCGGTGTCACCGCCTGTGCTGTGTTTGGCTGTATTGCTGGTATCATTTACGTCGTGAACGATCTCAACTCTTTCTACGATGAGAAAATCGAAGAACTCACTGTTTTCAAGGTAAGTTACAAAGTCACTTAAATGCCTCGACTAAAACTGCATTGTCAAACGTTAAGGTAGTGGCCGACTCAACATGGCAAAAAATGCTCCCGAATGCTTCCGAACTTGCACGTGAAAAACGTGCACACAGAAAAGTTCGACATGGAGAGAATACTTGCCCAGCCGGACCACCGGGCCCACGAGGGGAACCTGGACTACCAGGGCAGGATGGTGAACCAGGAACACCTGGAAAGAACGGAGTCAAGGGCCTGAATGCTGGTGACGGCACTGGCTATCCAGGGTGTGTCCCTTGTCCTGCTGGAGAGGCTGGGCCACCAGGAGTAGACGGCCCTCCAGGTCCTGCTGGTAGTGACGGCAACCCTGGTCAACCCGGAGAAGGAGGAGGTTATAGCACACCAGGACCACCTGGACCACCTGGTGACAGCGGAAATCCTGGAGCTCCCGGACAACCGGGACCTCCTGGACAACCGGGAATGGGAGGAAAGACAGGATCAGGTCGGCCAGGGCCACCAGGACCACCCGGACCATCAGGAGGACCCGGACAGCCAGGACAAAACGGGGAGCCAGGAAATAATGGGACGCCAGGGTCTTCTGGATCACCTGGATACGACGGACATCCTGGAAATGCTGGTAACAACGGGCCGCCTGGCCCGCCAGGAGCACCAGGAAGTTCAGGAGGCGATGCATCATACTGCCCCTGCCCACCGAGAGGTTATTCCAACGGTCGACCGGGCTCTTCTACAACTTCCGAAGACCTGTGAGTTGTGCATTTCTTCACCTTCTTTGAATTCATTTTTATTTTGGCTTTTCTTCCAGTAATTTAACGCGATTGCATTGATTTCCAGGCCGCCAGACTCAAAACGCTCCCGTAAAACTGCAAGAAGTGCCGCCAAATCTCCTTTTAAAATGTCACGAAAAATTGTTGTTAAGGTTTAGTTTTTTCCCACTAGCATTACTGGGGTATTCCTCGGAAGTTGCTAAGATGTGTGAAAATAAAGATTGATCGTTGAAAAGGAAATGTTCATTCAAAACTACACAATGCCTTCATTTCCTGGGTTTTTAGAAAAGATTGGTCTGAGTACAGCCTACAGAAAAACAGCTTGAAAATTGAAGAAAGCTCCCAATCAGAGCTCTGCTCTTTGATGGTGGATTTTCCCCAGACCCGTATGAAACAGACAGTAACCGATTAGAATCGTGTAATCAGACCCTTTCGACCAGCGTCTCTCGCTGAATGAGGGCCCATGGGGCACCTAGCACCTCTTTCCAATCTCAAGGCAGAGTGGGCAGCGAAAGTGAAGGAGCATTCCTGTGCACAAAGTAGGACATCTAGCATTGCAATGGGTATGCCACAAAAACATCTTGAACCCTGTAACATTTTCTCAAAGGCATAAGGCACTTCAATTTTTTACTTGCTCTAAATAAGTGGCAGGGGTGCTGTAGTGAGTAAATGACGAACAAACGGTGTTGAGCGGCCAAAAACCTGAAAAAAAAACCTTTGCTCTGCACGGCATTAATCAAGGTTTCTTGCGAGTTTCTCCGGTATCATTGCGCCAACAACCGCCTTGATAGAAACGATTGCACGCATACTCTAGTTCGCTGCGGACGGTTGGGCGTGTCAGGCAAGGCAGAGAAGGGCTTTGACGGCGTTTGTGTCACGCCGTCAAAGCCCTTCACTGCCTTCTTCTTGAAGCGCGCATGCGACAAGAAGTGGTAGAAAACGAGTAATACGACCGATATGATAAAATTATATCATTTGCTCGCTTTAATAACTGGCTGAAGAACGGGTTTGATCACGCGGGCCAAAACCTGCATCGCCTGACTGCCCTAACCGTCCGCACGGCGAATTACACTATAGTGTATTTTTAGATCTGCCATGGTAGCAGCGCTGTTATATCAGTTGTATTGCGCATAAATGAAGGGCGTAAAGAGTACCAGCGTTGATGTAACAGATCGGCGTTTGTGGGCGGGCGGTTGCAGTAGGCGTCCGGTTCGGCATGTTGCGCTTCGGTTAGGCACCATAACAAGGCCTTTTGCTTGAAATACCGGCTACATCAGCGCCTGTTTAAGAGGCATAATATTCTATCGTGCTCGGACCGAGCACCTTATCGACCCTATACAGTTTGTCGATTCATTGTGCCACTTGATTTTAATCAACAACTGAAGTGATAGGAAGCTTCCATGGGTTTATAATAATTCGCAGAGCAGCACAAGCTACTGGGCTGACTCCAGTGGTGTGATGTGTTGACGAGCAGAACGCAGAATGATAAAAGCTTCAGTTAAGCTGAGCTATAACCAGCGTAGGCTGCTTTCGGAAATTCCAAACTAGAAGCCCTGCTTTGATTGGCTTCAAAACACTAGTTGTATAGACAGTAATGTGCGATTTTTAAGGTCTTGTACTCGAACATATCCTAAAGAATCGCTTTATCTAATCGCTGTGGGCAACTTTATGCTTTGACGATCCTTCTCGACAATCCGAATAGACGGCGAGCAACAAGCTTTTGGTATCCTCCACTCGAAGGCGCTCTGAACACGCAAATTATAAAAACATTAAGATATAGTCTTCAGCGAAGAAGGAGCGAAAGAGGCTACAAACAAACCCGTTGTCGGCCGTTGAACTAGTGTCTGAGTGTACAGCAGATGCAGCAGAAGCAGCAGAAGAACCTCTTGCTGGACATGGGCAATATTCGGCGTCGCTTCCCACCTCTCCTGGTCCACCTGGTGGTCCAGGCTGACCATTGGTACCAGGAGTTCCAGGGTTTCCGGCTGGTCCAGTTGGTCCAGGACCTCCTGGTGTTCCGGGACCTGCTGGAGCTCCATCTTGTCCTGGTTGTCCGGGTGTTCCTGCTGGCCCAGGTGGTCCTGGTGGTCCAGGTCTTCCTGGGCTTCCAGATCGTCCTCCCATGCCAGGCTGTCCCGGGGATCCCGGTGTCCCGGGAGCTCCTGGAGCTCCACTGTCACCGGGTGGTCCAGGTGTGCCTGGTAAGCCGATGCCATATGCTGCACTACCGGGAGTTCCAGGGTTACCGCTAGGACCAGCAGGACCTGGAGGTCCATCTGCTCCTGGTGGCCCAGGCTCTCCAGGAGGGCAAGGGATGCATCCCGCGGTTTTTCGGCCGCGGCGCCGTTTCAGCGACCATTACCTCCCGTTGACGGCAGTGTTGCCGTACTGGCTTCTCGGCGTCTCACGCAGGTGCTGCCTGGCTCTCGCTGGCGAGTCCTGGGGTCGCAACAGGGCAGCTGATTACCGCTCTGAATAGGCTTGGTGGTTTGGACTGCTCTAACGAGGGAATGCTCTTTATTTCTGCTTTCTCGACTAAGTTCTGCAGCGTTGGGCAACATCTTCTGCCACGTAGAGTCGGCGACGTCCTGAAAGGAGCTTGAGATTAACAAAATTTGGCATCAGCATTTTTTGAGGGGTATTTACTGAGTTTTCACTTACCTTGAAATCGTTGAGGTTTTCCATGGATTCGTCGTAAAAATTGTTGAGATCGTTTACAATGTAAACGATGCCGGCAATGGAGCCGAATGCACAGCCAGAAAGGCGGTGAGCGCGCGGATTACAAGTGTGACCAGAGTGTGCGTTCCCATGCTGCGAACTGCGTGCCATCACCATTGTCAACGTCTGTTTTATAACGCTGATGAAGGCCGCTTCGCACTTGTAATCCTTTATCAATGCTCCGTTCCAGTTTTTGCGCCAGTTTACATGGACCTAATCACAGGTTTATTTCGATTCTACGCGCATGTTACCTTATTCCCGTAGTTTATCAGTGGCATTCACCGCTGATCGTTTGATCATCATGACACAATTGGCCGTGTGTCTCCAAGAACTTCCTTTTTCCGCCCAGCCAATGTCTTTCAGCTGCCCCGACTGGTATGACCTACATGTGGAGTCGCTCACTTGTATTCAAAATGGCTTTTTGCAGTTCATTTCTCGATAGGCTGCTCCATAATGAAAAGCGGATAGAGCCTGGAGCGATCGATTTTGAGCTTCATAATAATTTTTAGTGGCTTAATCACTCTTGCAGTTCTTATCGACATGCATGCGGTCATAGGCTATTAACATACATATGAAAAACTCGGAAATGCGGTTTGCAACAGCTATTTGGAGCGTAGCGTAAGTCTGGCCCTTCACGTCGCATGTTGGGTTTTGGTCGCGCTCTGTCAAGATGGTTAGAGTGGTGTCAAGGCTTACTTTTGATATGAAAAAAGAGCCTGCAAAGAATTTATCGATTGTTTCATAACATTCTCACATAGATGGTCTCGCAAAACGTTTTCAAGGTCTCGTTTCAAGTTCTCTGAATTTTTAGAAATAATATATTATTATGACATTAGAAATATATGTTATTATAATATTAGAAATATTTGAGATTGTTTGGCCCAATAGGAACCCTTGAATTGCAGTAATTCAGACATTCAGTCGAGAGAAATTACTAAAGTGCCAAAGCGGCTTTACTGGAGATGTTCACCTCCCTCTACATTAGCAGTTGCGAGTTGATGCGCCCTGACGTCTCGGGGAACATGCGCGACTTCCATTCAGCCGCAACCACGATGAGGGCGCTCCACTGCTGACAGTTGGATCACTGCAGATGTCAGAAGATGCGCGCGGTTGAATTATCAGTTTGAAGCGTCCAGTGATTTGCGCGGTTGGTCGCTCAGAGTTCCAAATCGTGTTTAAGTCCAGAAATGTAAGCAGGTGAAGGCTTATGCTAGCGCGTGACGCAATCATTCAAGTGATATTAGTATGATACGATATCAGTATGATATTTGTGTCAACCTGTCAGCCATCCATGGGAACAATTTTCTAGCCAAATCTGAGTTTTTGACTTGACTCTGGAAAAAGCGTCATGGGATCGAGCATCCCATGTAGGTCCTATGACTGCTTTGTTAATGAGGACTACACTTGGAACTGACTTGAAATTGGAGCCATTTCCTGAGAAGGCGGATATCCCTCTTATCTGCCTCACATGTAGGCATCGTCTGAATCATTTTCTGTTAAGGAGAGAGAAACCAGGAACCAAGTATAGTCGATTACAGGCGGGCCCAACAGTCACCGACGCCTATATTTATGAAAACAGGGAATCTTGGAACTGGATCGAAATCCCACAGTTTTATGGAAACTTCAGCAGAACCCCCTGAACGAGTATGACACTGGTTGAGCGCGAAGATGCTCGTTAGGCGCGTGAAGAGTGGCCAGGCCTCAACACCACAAAGAGTCTATCCGTTCAAGGAACTGGGCGAGGGCTACCTCACAGTTAAGTTTATGGGAGATGCGATGCTAAAAGACATTATGGACCTGGAAAATGAAAAACGTGTGACTCGCACATTATCCAACGAACTGTTACCTTTGAGCCACACTCGCTGTCTTTGGGCGCGGTTATCATGATATGACACACTCTCCCCCTCTGTACGAGTGCACCTCCATGCGCAGCGTGGGAGACACACTGAGATGAAGAAACTTCTCTACCCCCAATCCGAGAATCGTTTTGCATATTACCTGGGAGAATTTAATATCAGCATCCCAAGGGGCCTTATCATTTAGGCACAAATTCTTGCACGATAAGAAGACAGAAACTTCCAGTTCACAAATCGGAAGTGTATGGCAAGGTTCGGTACTACGTAACGTGTCTCATGCT